CTATATTATTATTATTATTATTATTATTATTATATTTATCACAAATATAAAGTTAGTATTTTGGTATAATTTCATCAGTTTCTTTTTACGCAAAAAGAATTAAACTACCTGCATTAAATCTATTGCTCGCAAATAATTTTTATACTTAAATTAACTACTCACATCAAACTGTAATTCCATTCGCAGTTCGCTACTAAATCTGTGTTTCATCGTTTGTCCGAGCTTAACTGTCTTAAGGCACAAAAACATAACAAGAAATAATAACAAATTATTTTTCGCTTAATCGTCAACAGGTCAAACATCTTGACTGTGTTCTGCTTTCTGGAGCCCACAATTATTTAATCATATACACATAAAATGTATATCGTTAGCGCATAAAGATAAAGATAATCAAAATTTAAACTCATAATTTAATAGAGATTAATGCTAATGTAGAGGTCAATTAAAATTTAATTATAGTTAACACTATCTTTTGTACAATGCTTTTAATTTATTCTTATATCGAAGTAATCCAGACAGCACGCAATATTTATAAATATTTACAAAAGACTTATTTTAAATATTTTGTAAATATGTTTGTGATCTTACAGCGTTTTCGGCCCGACCGGATTTACAACCTGGATTGGATTAATGTCTGTTATTGATTGATGTACGTTACATATTGTGTCAATAGGAGAACATGAATATCATTAATTCAACCCAGATTGGTGCAAATCTGTAGTCGAGCCGAAAATGCTATTAGATTGCACAGATCATAAATATTTATTGTATAAATATTGAAATATTTATTTATATTTATTATAAACATTACATAAAATATTTAGTCCATATTTTAATAATATTTCAAATAAAGCTTTATATAAAATATATGTATAAAATATTTTATTTATATAACATTTAAAAAAATGAATATTAATAAATATTTATCATAAATATTCCGTGCTGTTTGGATGTAAAGAATTGTCGTTACCATTGGTGTAACCTTTTTATTGACAACTGATGTTTATCTAATTACGATATCAAAGTTTTTTCGTATGATACTTTCAAAGTTTAATGTAGTTTAATGTATTTAAAGTTAAGTAACGAGTTTCCTCGATATCTTTGATATCCTGAATTAATTTTTAAGCTATTTTTATATTTTGTAAAGTGCACGCATAAATATAATGTACAAATATAGTTATACACGCCCGAGGTTGATCGATTATGTAATGTACGTATCTTGCAATATCAGACAAAAATATTGACACATGGCTGTTACTATTGAAACCTGTAACGGTCCCTACATCTGTAGGCAGAGAAAATGGCAGAAAACTATTTCTATAAAAATTTTTATTTTATAATTTGTATTTGATAATACAATTACACACATTGATATAAATAAATCTATTTACGAAAGAAAAAGAAAAATGCTTTCTGAGAGCATTATTCTCTTTTATAATCTTTAACAGTGATCTTGCACTGTATATTCAACAATAGATTTTTATTATGCAACAACACACCGATAATAATTGCAGACTCTGTGACAAGACCAAGATTCAAAAAGCTAACAATACGATGCATACGAACGCCAGATGGCGTACTAAATACGCGAATCAGCTGACTATTCTTCCAAGTGGAATATGTCAATTAGGATCGTTTTAGATGAATAGATATGTGAAAATTATCTTCAGTTCAGTATTAACCAATGCATTTGTGTGCGGCACAACCGGTTCATGACGAATTCGAATGCAGACTGAACGATGACGATGTTGGTTATGTGCAAATCACTGGACTTTCTCTCGTATGACAAACCGAGAAAGACGAACGAATGTGCTTTGTAACATATGCCGTAATAAAAACAATTGTTATATTAACAGAATACACCTGAGCGTGACTGCGCATATTTCATCAGGATTATAGAAAGAGAAGACTCGTCGGTATTACAGATTATAGAAACTCTTTTCTAGGTATGTAGAATTGTTTGTTTATAAAACAAATAAAATGCAAGGAAACGCATGTGATTTGTATGAATGTCAAATAAAATTACAAGAATAGAAGTAATTCTTTTTAATATAATCCTGCGATACCTATTATAAAGTTATTTATCTTGGAACAGTTACTATCTGTATTATCTTAATTGATTTTGTTTTTGTCTAAAATTTTAAGTTTTTATTAAGTTTTTTTTTAAGAATTGTTTATTATAATTCTATTCATTTTATAATTTTTACAAAAGCAAAGATTAAATATTCTTATTTCTTTTTTTATATATTTTCTTCAATAGATAAAAATAAGAGGATTTAATCTATTTTATTTATATCAAATTCTTGTTTTGTAACAAATTAATTATAGCATACATTTTACAACTTTTGTTGCAGTAAACCTACAGCCAAATTATTAAGCACCTCAATTCTTTCTTTTTGTAGATAAATAAGGGACAAAATGGATCTTCCACTCATGAGCAATTATTTGGAAACATATTCCGGCAGAGATAAGATGTTAAGAACTTTGTCTTATGCGGCAAAGTTACTTACTGCATGTACTTCATCTAAAAGTACTGAAAAGAAACTCAAGACCTTTGGAAGTCAGATGAGCGAATGTAGGGTAATGTTGCGCTTGCTAGATGATCTTCCAGCGCTTCACTACATGATGACATATGGATGGGGAAAGCAGGTATCTCTATTAATTTAATACAAATTAATTGTGTACAATTAAAAATTAAGAACTTAACTACATAGCTGAAAACTTTTAATTAACTACCTCAAGAATACTATATAATGGAAATGCATTGCGTTATTTTTCTAGAGTCATTTAAATTTCATATGTAATCTAATAATAGGAACCTGACTGGTTGATTAGATGGAGCCAAGTGATACAAAATGTAGTAGACGTCATTTATTCTCCCATAGAGCATATTGCTTGGGCTGGCCAGCATAATATTGTATCAATTAATAATGACAAATGGGATCTTGCTACAACTTGGTTTTGGATAGTTTCTCTACACCTGTCGTTATTGAAGTAAGCCAAAATGTTTTATAATATTTCAAATATTTTCATAGTTGTTGAAAATGCACACTATTTTATAGAACAATTCTATGATAATTATTATTTTCTTAAAAATACACATTTAAAAGATAAAACGTAAAATATTTCATTATTATTTCAGATCGTTTAGATTATTACAAAAACTTCAAAGATATAAAATAGGATTGAAAAAAAGGAATGTTATTACACAGTGAGTATCTTATCATATTTGTAATAATATCAAGTTTTAAATGATTTATCTCTCAATAATATTATTCTTTAAAAAATATAAAAATTAATTATGTTTTTTTTTTTTAATTTAGTATCACATTGAAAGACCTCAATGAGCATCGACGAAGTGCACTATTGACATGCACACGTACAATGCTAGATATTTCTTATGCAATCAGCTATTTACCACCAGGAGTACTTTGGGGAGGCCGTTTAAAAACATGGCATGTTGGTGCACTTGGTACAATATCGTCATTAATTGGACTTTATCAAGCTCTCAGCCGCCAAATAAAAAGTTGAAAATACTTTTAAATATTAGTTTGGGAGAGGTTTTATCGATTGCAAAAAATATGGGTGAATGTGTTGTATATACTACGTATAAGGTTGTGTTGTATATATATTGATATTAAATAAAAAATTAATACGGATCAAAAATATATTAGATTATATTTTTGTTGTAGCTTTGACGATCTTTTAAAATGATAGATTCACCGTTCAAGTTGAGAAGTACTTTGCATTTTTACAATATAAATTGCATTCCGAAATAAAAAAAAATATTTCAATCTTCGTTCGCGATTTTATTAAATATTACATACATATATATATGGCTGTAAAAAAATGCTTTATTAGTTCCAGTAACGTATACATAATAGGAATTTAGTGAGAGAACAAGAAAAAGATTTCATTCGTTGTATTGTACTTATCTAATTGTACTTATCTAATAATACATTATTCTATTTTTGTTAAAAACTGTTTGTATAAATAAAGGCCACTTTAAAACTTTTTTTAAATCCTTGTCATTTTTTAGGCTTTTATTAAATAACACTAAGTATGCACAACTTCTAGTGACAATGACAAATTATATTATACGAAAAAATTAAGTCTAAACTTTGTAATTAATACTTAAAACAATGACTAATTAGTTTTAAATTTATTTAAATTTAACTTTTCCGTAAATACATATATCGTATATATGATAACATTGTGACCGAAACATTAAGAGTTAAATATTATGAACCATGAATGAAGCTTTTAAATCGGATATATAAGTATCGTGTATATATTCAGACGAAGCTTTATTTTTGAGTTATTATATTAGTTCTCTGGTTTATGCATAGTAGTGTCATAAAATTTGTTTAATATGTTATGTACACATAATTATACATATTATTGTTAATTCCTGAAGATTATTAATAAAAGCTAAAAGAGGCACTTTTTATCTGAACTTAAACTGAAGTTAAACTTTGGACTTTCATCACGATGCTATCCATCATTACATCATGGCTTACAACTAATCGGAGCTCGATTACACCAATATTATATCAGATTTCTCTTTATCTCAATCTTATTTAATTTTTCCAAAAAGAATATTTCTCTGTACTAAATATTTAATTAAATAAACTATATATATATTCCAATCCAATCAATGGAGCGCAGATCCCTTGATCTAATTCCGTTAAAAGTTCAACATTATGCATGCATACTGTAAGTTTTAGCTTAAAAAATAATTTATTTTGTTATATAAACAAATCTGTGAAAATTACATTAAAAGGCACGACTTATTGAAATCTTTTCAAACGGCATGCTGTTTAGGTAATTAAAATTTCTTTCCTATAAAACTCTGTCGAAATTAGATTCGATAATATTGTTGTATAGAATAATTTACAGATTAAATGTCTTTGAAATATATCCGAAGCACCTTGAATATACGTATATATATTTGAATAGATATAAAGTATATTTGTATTTTTTAATTTTTAAAGCACTTTTCTTCAAAAATTGCTTATATATGTAGCAACGTTATCATTTGTGAACCATATATAGTGATATATATGTATTTAATCGGATATATAATGAATCATTCACAAATATTTTTCAGAGAATATTAGCTTTATATTTAACTGCCTCATGCAAATTCATTATTATCACTCGAGCGGACAGTTTTAGATTTCTTTTGTAAGTATTGTATTGTAATATATTGTGCACTTTTGTTATTGGCCAAATATATTGGCCCTCATTTTATCTATCGGCATTACTTTTTCTTAACATCTTATTACTATCGACATTCCCGTTAAAATAAACGTACGTATGCATACACAACAATAAAATTCCAAACTAAATATTACTTTAACGTAAAAATAAACAAATTGTTACAATAACGTGAAATCTGAGTAAAAAGAAGATTGCTATAAGATTGTTTAAACTTCGTAATATTTTCGGTTTGATATTAATATAAAAAGATTAAAATAAAAATAACATTTATTTTAATTACGTTTTAAATCGCTTATGATCAAATTGATTTTTATTAATCAGTTAAAATTATAGTTTGTAAAAGATGATGATATAGATAAGGAAATAAAATGTTCAATTTTAAGAACGCATATTTAAGACGAGCTGTCTCAATAACATTTATCATTGACAAGACCGACTTATTGATAAATATGAAAATGGAATGGCAAATAAAAAATAAAAACAGACATCGAATATCTGCAAAAATCTGGCTTTTAATTCAACAAAATTGTATCAAAACGGGAGAAACGCGAGTGAAGGATAAACCTTATTTAAAGAAGAGATGTAACATAATTGTACATAGTAAGAAAAAAAAGAAAAAAAAATAAAAACGACTCAATTCCCCTACAATCCGCGCCAGAATCGTAGACCATGTACTTCTCCATTTCGTCAACCGTTAAACAATCCATATGAGCGAAATATCTGTGGCAGCCGCTCGCTTCGGCTAATAGTACAAAAATCCAGTCGATCGCGGTCAATAACGCAACATATTTACGTTATACCGCTAATCGAATGTAGAGATACATTGTAATCTAACGTAAAATTAACAATGTTTAACGTCATCGACAAGTATCGTAATGGAAGAACGATTAGCGAGTTGTACAGTACATTCGGCAAGTCTCTCGTTATATCACATTATTATCAGATTACGCGCGCAATGTAGTAATGACAAATAATTACAAAATAATTATTATCTCGCCATTTCAGAATAATCTTTTCTATAGCATTATCGTAACAATACATAATTAAGCGTAATACTTTAACACGATAAACGCATGATGCTGACGATGCTATTAGATTTCCTGAGTTTCTACGTTTTTCATTGAGCCCAGCTCAAAATTGCTATAACGGAGCCCTATCGTGTCTCGCGTAAAAAATTATTGTCACTGTGAAAGCCACAATACAATTCTCACGACTCTTAACGAAAAAAACTGTGTATACACGTACGTGTACATGTGCGTATTCCTAATGCACGATCACGGCCATAATCCTAGCATCTACTGTTTTGGCGATATTTAGCGGTAAAAAAAAATCGATAAGAGAACCTGTCTCTCTAAGTGAACGTACTAAATAAAAATATATCGTTTTTCTCGAACGTAGTAAAAACTGCGTTCGCAATAGGAACTTTTTTTTGGAACAAACATGATTTTCAATATTCATCTTGTCCTTTCGCACGCACGGTAACGATAATGAACCAATCGTTGCGCGTTCGCAAGCTCAATCGGCGTGTCCCCGTATGTCGGACTAATTCTAAGCTATCTGCGGCTACGCGATAAAAACTAAGTCTGCACCCTGTTACCCGATGTTCTAGGTCAGGCGGCGCAACGTCGGTTATAACCGGTAGAGTCAAAAAGGAACAAAAAAAAGAGGGAGGTGACGGGCGCGCGAACAAAAAGCAATTTTACTGGCCGCACATAAGATATTGTTTTCACACGTCACCTCCTTTAGATCATGGTCGTATTTGATATACGGGGACAGTTGTTTATTCCGAAATTCGGATTCAATCCTATTACTTGATTCGTCTTTGAGTTCCGCGTCAGAGGTGTGTGATGTGACATCGAGTCCACGGCGTGTTGCCATTGCCAACAGCTGCGGCAAAAGTATCGGAAGCAAGCCTGAAAACAAATCGTACAGAATTTAATATAGGTACGTATAAAGCGAGTTGTAAAAAAAATTATAGATGTATATCATGAACATATAATGAGCACATAAATAACATGATGTTAAAAGCAAAAGTATTTATAAAAGATAGAAATTAGAATTCTATATAAAAATATAATTAAAAATTAAGTTTTCATACCACATCACGGCAGAAGTAATGTCCTTGTTGCACAACGCATACGGAGCATATCGATTCTTCGATGTACGGATCCACTTGTACCTGCAATAGAATAATATAATATAGAAGTTTTATCTTAAAATAATAGTATTAATTATACATAATTTTATCCAGCGTACCTTTTTTGTAAATTTGTCAGTTTTAATTTCTATGAAGGAAGCAGTGATCGCTTTAAAATACGATTGTTTCGTACTGAATGTAACACGGCCGGATCCTATTGGATATTTATACTTATCCGTGTCTATACCTAAGATAATATTTATTTTTATTAATTTTGTAAATATATGCGTGTGTAGAAATTATTTATATAATATAAAATAAAATATAAGATTAAAAGTAAAATATTTAATAATCAAGAAATAAATAATAATTACCTGCGTAAATAACTCCATGGAAAAGATCATCCATGACTTTCGCCAGTCCTGCGGCCGTTAACATTCCGTGTAGTGCACCAACAAATACCGTTTTGTGTGCATCGAGTCTCTGTGATGATGATTTGATGTAGTTGCTATTTTCGAGAATCCATGGAATCACTTGTACCTAAAATAATAAAATATACAAGATTCAATTTTAATGATACAATTCCGGATATATGCATGATGTTATTGACGTACATCTTTCGGTTTTGAACGCTTGGATATAATTTTGTAATACCATCTTTTTCCATTGGTAATGTCGTGAGTGCAACAGGACAACATTGCCCTGACCTGAAAGTAGTTTATATACAATCACATTATCTCACAATAATTTATCTTCTATAACAAATATTCATTATCAAATCAATACTCAATAAAAATAGAATTAATATACACCTGTTTCTCTGATTCGAATATAATATAAGCGTATCCTTTTGGCTGAGCAGATGGTGCTTTTGCGGGCCACTCTACACGAACCGGTCCGAATTGTTTAAATGTTGAAATTAAGATAGCTTCTGTAACATCCCATGGTACACCTCCCAGAAAAACTTTGGGAGAATAAGCGACTGGTTCTTCGATGCTTTGAGGCAGAAAACCACTCCATGTACATGTTGGATAACAATGTGCTAAAATAAAAAGTCAATTCAATATCAATTTGTTTCGATATTTCCATTAATCATTTAATCAATATATATTTCCAATGATTTAATCAATATATTCGAAAATAATTAGGAATTTAAAATTTTGTACAAAATAAAATTTTTAAAGATTTAAACTGAAACAAAAAACTTTATTCATAAAAACTTATCATTTTCAGTTTAAAACTCAAAACTCAATATTGCGATGTTTTTATCAAAGAAGTTTTCAAATTCATTAAAAAAATGTATAGAATGTAATATATAGAATATGGATGCAAATTTACAGCAATCTTGTATTATTTGAATAATTTATTGTATTGTATAGTTAATAAATAATTACAATAATGTGAGATAATTGCAAGTCTTTTATACACACACGCGCGCGCGCATACACACACACATGTACATGTATACCATACATATATACGATACTGACCAGCAGCATTTCGGTGAGACCTCGCTACACGATCGAGCGACACTGGTTGGGCCAATCTGCGCGCAGCATTTCCAAGTCCGGTACAGCAATTTTTCTCATGGCTCAAGAGAGAATTGAGAAAATTACTGCGATTTTGCCCGAGTCCGTGATGATGCTGGTAATAATGCGAGCTCGTTGAATTCTGTTGTAACGATGACAAATATTTTTTTACAGCCATACGCTCAAACGCCGTTCTGTTGTTCGGGCACGTGTTTGTCTTTGATATTATGGAGTCCAGAGACGGCGGGAAGCAAGAATTCGATGAAGAATTCAACGACAAACAATTCTATAAATGAGCGTTTTTGACAGTAATGCTTAGGGAACGATATATTATTTAGGCAATTAAATATTTATGTTCGAGTATTTAACTTCTCACCAATATTATGTCAGATAAGGAGCCATCCGCGCTACCAATGCCACTTGTCTCAGAGTCCGCCGGTGAATTGGAACGCGAGCCGTTACATCCCAGAAGATGAGAGAATTCCAATGTTGGGCTACCACAATCACTAGTACCAATAAATTACCATTTGTGGAATATACAAAGTATATTAAAATTCGATAATTGTCTATCAATATTTAACAATATTTTACAATGTAATTAATTCAATTCTAGACATTAAGTTAATATAGCTAATAGAATAGAATTAATATACACATATGTTAATTTGTCTAGAAGTAGCAAATGTTAAAATTCGTTTTCTTAAGTTCATTATTGCAAATTAAAATTCAATATTAACTTAAATATTTAGAAAAATTTTATTTTGTAAGTTTTATTTTATATTACACAATTATAGAAAAATGTACCTTTTTTAGAGAACTAAATAAACAAAGTGTTTTCCGATAGATTTTATTTGCTGAAAACGAATCCGGTCGCGGAATTGACTTAACACGTCAGGTTTTTGAAAAAAATTAAGATTAAATGTGCAAAAATTTTTGGTCATATTTACAATTTTTTTGCGGCCAAAATAAATTTTTTTTTCAATTTTGTTTACGCCACTTTAAAGCGCTTTTACCTAAAAAATAAATTTATATTTATCACGGTACAGTTATTATAATGCGCACTGTCAGAGATTTCACACGTAATTACGTTTCCAAATATTTTTACTGATTAGGAACATAGTCACGCACTTTGGCACGCCAACTATCCCATGAAATCGTTTATTTCTTACTATTATAATTCATGTACTTATATTTTATACATTTATAAATAGTAATAATCATATTATATATATTCAACTTGATTTATAATATGATTTATAATATGCTAATTACGCAAATGGAAAAAAATTTATTTTGGCAAAAAAGTGATAAATATGACAAAAAACGCCAATTTTAATCTCAATTTTCTTGAAAACCTGACGTGTTCAGTAAATTTCACGGCCGGATTCGTTTTCAACGAACAAAAATCCATCGGAAAACACTTTATTTAGAACACAAAAAAGGGTTCTAAATAAAGTATTAAACTGTGTTATTAGACTTAATGCTTTTGCGATTTTTTTGTCCTCATTTCACTGATACTTAATTACCTGTATGGTGTAGAGCAGCCTCGTATAGGACGGCCAAAATATGACGAATCGGTGGGTGATGATGAAGAGCCCGGATATTGGAATGACGGTCGACTGGTTGGTGAGGACGGCGTGTTTGTGCTGGTACTGGCAGTGGACGAATAGCTGTAAGGATCTGAAGTGAAGCTGCCAGGTGTGCTCGGACTGCCGGGAGTAGTCATTGAATTCGGTGAGCTCGGAATATCCAGGCCTGAGGTATTCGAGCAGAAACCATGATTCCGACACTGTGTGCACAAATAATACGTAATTATACATAGAGAGGTCAAGTCGCGATATCGACAGAATGAAAAGTCGAAAGTAACTTTTAACTTCTATTTTTTTATAAACAAATCGTACTTCTCTTATGAATACTATAAGATGAAAAATTGACACTGTCTCCATGTATTCAAAGATTTTGACGCTGTGAGAATACAAAAATTAATATGCTACGTTAACACATTAATCTTGTAGAGAAATGACGTAGAGAAATAAATTCAAGTTTAGAATTTCATATCTGGTTAAGCAGCATGCCGAAATTTGCATTTCGAAGAGAAACAGGAAGAGACGAGGAATATTCTCCGCGCACATGTGTTTCGGAGTACTTGGAACACATCCAAATTGAAACGCAATATTACGCGACAGTGCGAGAGTGCGAAGAGAGTGCGATCTTTTGAAATGGTAACAACTTTGCGTCGGCTCGAATTAAAGGAAGGCGAGACATGCATTCTAATAGAGCCGTTTGGCTCGGAGCAATGGATTCTCGACCGGCCATCGAGATTGCTTAGCGCCATACATTTTATTTAGGTCATTACACTTAACTCAAATTCTTTATTAAAAATCTATTATAAATAAAACTCTATTTTGTTCTTTGAAATATTCAAATATTTGCTGTAATACATCATAACCTGAAAAGTAATGAATGAGATAAAATTTCTATTTAAAAAAAAAAAATCAGTTGCGGACTTGCTACGAAATAAATCATTGAAAGGAAACATAGTAGTTTTGTGATATCCATGTAATATATAATACAGTATAGTACAAACATTGACTGTTAAGTGCTGGAATCGGAAAATGAGATGGAATAAGGTAGTTGGAGTTATTCCAATAGGAAGAATGTTCATTGTTCGGGTTATTGCACCGCCGAGTAAATGCCTCTAGCAATATGCTTTATGTTGCGTTTATCATCTTTATTGTCATTCTCCATGTAAAATTTACAATTTACCAAAGTTATCGCATTTTTTTATCAAACCGTTGTAGAGTCGGATGTATTCTTATTTCACAGTGGAAAGCAATTTCGGGTAGTAATAGTAGCGTCAGAGTAGCAGTATAATTTTCTGTGAGATATTGCCAATATGAAATAAAATATAATAAAATAATATAAAATTAAGCAAACATATACATTTCTTTCTCATACGACAAACTTTCTGTTTGCAATAAGTAAAATTTTATTTGGGAAATGAGTAAAAATTTATTTGGAAATACGCAAAAAATGTTTATTTATTAATTTATAAATAACCTTATAATTTATTTTTCCCGATGTAATTAAATTGCATCATCTTCTGTCGATTACTAAATTGTATCATTTCAGTTTAGGATCACCTCGCGAGGTCTTTATACTATGTTGTTTTTGTATATTAATGGTAATGAGCCTTATCACGAACCGACAGCATCGTATCGACGCTCCTACTGATCCACCTACTCTACTACTATTATCAAGTTGTAATAAAAACCATATTAAATATCTCGATCGTGTATCGTTTTTTATATGTTCTCAATTAAAGTATCATTCAACCATATTCGTCATAATAAAAATAAACTTCTCATTACTTTTAATAATTTCATTAAGAATTCGAAGTCTTACATTGAAACAAAAAAAAATGTCATAGATCTTTTTCATCTTATAATTTACCTCGTGTTGTAAAGATCCTTGCGTTTGGTCGAAACTGCTGTACTGATAATTACGATAGCTTGAGGAACCGATCGTCGATTGATTTCCCATCAGAGATCCTCGAGGCAAGCCCAGTCCGAACATATCAGAGATTGCGCTGTCACCTGTAGGAAAAAAATCATTAGGGCCATTGCACACATTTTTCGTACCATAAAACGTACCGTAAAATGTATTATAAAAATTAGCTAATCAGAGCTAATAAGAAAATATTTGATAATTCTTGATTGTAATTGGCTAATTCTTACAGTACGTCTTATAATTACTGGTACGAAGTGGATGCGACAGCCCTTAGCACACTACAATCACATAAAGAAAAATGAAAAAAAAGTGCGAGATAAAGAATCGAGAGGCTCAAAAAATTCCTTAAAGTCTAGATTTTTCAAAAATTATTTTTAGAACGGTATTCACAACAGGTTCTTATATATTAACACAGAACAGAAATATATTTTTTATGTTAAAGAAACATAAGCTCTTAGGACCTACTAAAATTTTCATTAATTTTATTACGTTTTAAAACAATTAAGCTTAAAACTGTAAAAAATAAGATTGTGTGAAACATAAAATTATTTTAAATCTACTACTTAAAAGTTAAGAAAAGTCCAAGGATCATCAGAATATGTTCCAATTACAGATTAAAACCTGAAAATGTAACAAACCAATCAAAGAACCATTTTACTATCTTAAGTCTTTAAATAGGAACAGACTATGGAATATCAGTCCTAGTTTCTAAGAGAATTTTCAAAGTTCCTGATAATTTTACTTTATCATCGACAAATCTTTAACTGGAGCTGACCCAATTTAAGTAAATCTCGTGGGGCAAAAAGCATTCCGTCTTACCATCGGTGCTGATGTTCTTGTCCGACTGGGAGGCGTCCTGCGAAAAATTTGGAAGATGCGACGGCGACGGCGGCGTTGGCAAATCGAGCAGCAGATTGTTGATCGATTGCAACTGATGCAATCTCTCACGCTCCTGTTCGCGTTCCTTGCCTCGCTCTCGCTCGCGGGTCTGGCTTAGTTTACGCAGCAGCAGCTTGCTGCGCTCTCGGTTTTGCGTTGCATCCTGATGGTGCAGCGAATCCTGATGAAGCATCGGTATGCCTTGGTCGAATCCGACGTCCGTCTCGTCGCTCTCGTCGTTCACCAGTGTGATGTCTGACTGTAAAATCAATGTTTACTTTAGTAGTTACTAATCCCGCACATATCCCGAATAATATTCTATCGCGAATATTCCCACACACAGAATCATAATGATATCACAGGATATCATCATGCCTTCATTTATTACTTATGAATGACAAATAAGGTCATGATGTCTTCATCGGCGTAGAACTTCAGGGGAGAATAAAAATTTATAACTTTCACACAAAACTTATTAAAATGGAGGAGGATCTTCAGCTTTCATTACGCGTGAGTCATAAATTGGGCAACGGATGTTTAATTTTTCATCGTACAAATTTTCAACTGTGCCGTAAGCCGAGTACGTGAATGGAAATTGGATACGCGTAAAGCTGATTTCTCCGTGAAAGTAAGTAATTCGTCGTAGTTCGACGCGCGTGATATCAAATTCCCTTTTACGAAAGCGGAATTCCACGGTGCTTTACACACTGAAAACTGGATTCTTACAAAAGTATGCTTTTTTTCGAAGTCCTTCACTCGTCCTTGCCGAACTCAATTGTTTAGAGAATTCAAAAAACTATCCGGTTTCCCAACTCTCGGCGTCTTGCAGGTTCCCGCTTTCACTAGGTATGAGCAAGTATCCCAAATTACACACAATTGACGCACATAAGCAATTACAAGTAATATGATATAGATCTACTTATAATTTATAAACAGACGAGTAGTAGTATGTCTCGAATACACTAATTATATCAGAGTATCACGATATTCTTGGTCGCACTCGTAGCTCGTCTGTTTTCCCAGAGGCTCGTCATCAATCATTAAAGAGTTTTTGCAATACCGTTTATCCAGATACGGTGAACGTTAAGGTAAGGTCTTCTTTTTAACAACTAACTAAGAAAAGGATAACATGACTTTAGCGTTCACCGTATCTAAATTCACATTGTTGCAAACACTCCCCTATTAACGAGAAATCCATGTTTTACTTTAGAAATCCGACGTACATACCTCTATTCTAACGGATCTTCCTCTATCGTACACGAACTATACGAGCGACGCCGATAGACTGCGCGGCGCGAACGAAATCGAAAACAGAGCGCCTTCTGAAGGACGCCGGCGTGGCGCGGTACGTTCATGGAATTCGCGAAAAAAAAAAAAAACAAAAATTCTTTAGGTATGAGGGAGCCGCCGGAAAACACATTCCGCAGCTTTTCCCAGAATTTCAGTTTTCGACTGTCGAATCGTCACGGGTAATTGTGGAGGTCATCAGCTCGATCAATCTTTTGTTGTGTCGTCCACGAAATCCGTCTTATCCGGGAGACGGCTAATTCTTCATTCTGCCGGCGTATTTATTTAATTTAGGATCTAATTTAGGATTTATCATTGCGATGGCAGAAACGTATAATTAAAAGAGAAAGCAAAAGAAAAAGAGAAAGAAAGAAGGAAAGGAGGGGGACAGAGGCGGGGGGGGGAAGAGAGAGAGAGAGAGAGAGAGAGAATATATATTTATTTCAGCACTGTATATAAATATATATATATCTAAAGAAAAAAAAAAGAGAGAGAAAATTATAGGATACGTTTCGACTTTACTTCACTAATTTCTACTAAGCCCATTTCTACCAAGTTCAATTTACAAACAATACGATAGTTCAATTAAGTCTTCACTTAAGTCTTCACTTTTTCTTAGTTCTAAGAATTAGAAAGAGATGAAGAGTAAGTTGAACCGAGATTAAAGTTAATATATAGTGGTAGAAACGGGACATATTAGTCTTCCTCACAAATTAAAAAATCTAATAGAATATATAAATACAAATATAATTCCTCATTTTTGCCGAGGTAATTAAGTATTAAATATCATAATATACGTTATGTATATTACAGATTTCTCTACTCTCTAAATTTCTTGGAGTAAAATCTCATTCTAAAAGAGTGAAAATACTGCCACTGTTGAAAAAAAGAGTGAAAGGTATTTTTACTCACGAATAAGAGTAGAAAATTTTCACTCTTTTTTTTTTTTTTTTTTTGGAATAGCATTTCATCCCTTTGAAGTGAATTCTGCCATTCTTATTCAAGAGCGCAAATATTTTCACTCTTTTTTCAATAGTGGTAGTATTTTTACTTTTTCTGGAATGGGATCTCACTCCAAGAAAAATGTAATTTCTCGTATAAGATACCTTTCAAGAATCAAACCGCAGAGATTTACGCGAAACTCGGATAATTCTGCCACATTCCCGGATAATTGGAATTTCGGGGAATTCGTCCGAGGTGTATCGTAATGCGGAGCACGTGTTTACCATCAAAAGCTTCACGATTGCGGGTCTCCATCCCCTCGGGAGGGGGGGAGGAGGGGGGGGGAGGGATCGACCGGCCGCGACCGACCCGGATTCTCATCGTGCGGCCTCGTCACCCCCGAGGGTCACGGGTCACCCTTCCACGGCGCGTGGGCCGTCGGCCACGGCGGAGGGTGCAGAATCTACCTTGGAGCGGAGTCTCAGATGGCGTGTTACGAATATATCCGCTCAGAAATTCTCGCGTGCCCACGTCTATATCACGGATACGGCATATCGGCCGTGTTTATTTACGTTTCGCGCGGCGCAGGACATACATTCCTTCGCGATTGGTATGTCGTCGGCGCGAGTTAACAAAACTGGAACATTCCTCTCGCCAGTTAAGAACCCGGGATCGGCAAGGCGGCCGATCGGGATCGCCAGGGAGGAGGAACAGAAAAAAAATAGCGACACTAAGATCGTCGAGCACGGAATCCGGAAGCTTCTTTTCCGTTTTCTGACGTCTGAAAATATCGTGACTTTGTCAATTCTCCCCTTCCGCTTTCCCATCCTTGGTGTACTTTCCAGTATATTTATACATCTATCGTGCAAACTGAATAATATATTAATATTCGTACACTTTCACGCACGGTATAAAGTACAAATGGATTTAAATCCTGAAATCCAATTAGAATCGCGAGAAAATACGTGAACCTCCATGAAACTCGGGCGACGCCGAATCCTTGGAGTCGCCGGCGTTAATTCGCGTAGCTAATCAGCCACAGTCTCGCGTCCTTCCACCTTCCTTGCGCGATAATCGCGGATGTCGTAAGACGAGACTTACCGGTTGCATCAGCGTGGGCATAGCCGCGGAGAGTGTCCCGTCGCGAGGAAGCCTCGAGGATGCAACGATGTAGAGATTGTAGAGTAATGTAGAGAGTCACCTCGGCGCGGCTCGCTCTCGCACGGTCTCGAGGGACACGAGCGAGTAGGAGCCGACTCGATCCCGTCCGCCACTAACAACAACGCACGATTAAGCAGTGGACTTCACGCTGCGCGCTCCACGAGAAGTTACGTGCAAGTGACGATGGACCGACGGGCGACGACGGCGACGGCGACGGCGACGGTGACGGCGACCGGCAACGGCGGCGGCGGCGAGGGGTGGATTCTCGGGATTGAAGAGAGCGCGGTGGGAGGTCTTTAACGGGCCACGCGAATACTCGTGACGTCCGCCGCTACCCGCTCGCCGTTTCCCTCGGATAAATGAGGCTCGTTTTTGTTTTCTGACTTATTGCCGATGACACACACGGCAGCGGAAACGGAATATCCACACTCTCCTATATATTTATATTATCTTTTTATCTACCCCACCGCGAGTTCGATTAAAGAGAGAGAGAGATCTCTGCTTCTTTTTACTCTTTTCCTCTTCTCTCTCCTTCTTTCACTCTACTATTTCTTGCCTGTTTCTTCAAATCTATTTTTTTCTGTTTTCTAACTTCATTTTTTTTCTTTTTATTTTTTTATGCTTTGGGTGGAGTCCCATAAGGCATAGGGTGGAGTCTTATGAGGCATATTAACCGCGTGTCGCCAATCAGTAATCAGTAAAACACGAATCACAACAGTGGATCGTTTCTGATTGGTTACGCGGTTATGCGATACACGATATAATACACCTCATGAGACTTTAGCCTTAGAAGCTTGTCCTCAAATATTAACTCTGAGTACACACAATTGCATCATTCGTGTCCTGTTCATTTCTTTTCTTCGAAGTCTAGGATCATCAAGTTATAATTAATTAAAACATCTATATACAGTTTATATATAATTTTCAAAATATATCTTATAAATATTTTCTGAGATTAAAGTAGTTATAAAAATTACCTAATTTTTTTACATTTGTTAATGATGAAAATTAACCTGAGACACGAATGATTCAAAGTGTGTAGTAAAAAACCAGAAAATCATCGTGTTTACTAAAAGTTAATAAACGCTTCAGCTTTCTTTCGCGTTCGCGTCCTCTCTTTTTCTTTTTTGCTACACACTTCGAGAACCACGCGCTTTTTTGTCACCTTTTTTGTAAAAAAAAGCAAGAGATTTAAAATAAAAAGAGATTTAGAATAAAAACGAAAGTTTAAAGTCCATTTGAGATGAGGGCTGTGTTCACTTTGACGCTTACAGCACTTGTGAGCATTATTTGTCCTAGTTCAATATTTAATAAACAATAAGGATGAAACGACGCTTAAAACGTTGTGAGCGACAAAGCAAACACAGCCAAAATAAAATATGTAAGAAAAATGCCTTTTCTAGAAAAAATTACAGTTGATTCTTGAAGTGATTAGAATCGTCTTCACATTCTTTATTTTTCAAGCCAACAAATTTGTTACAGACACCAACGATAGCATCTTGCCACTTTATAAGGTGTATCAAAATTAGAGTATATATAGAAAAGAAGATATATACATGCTATTTACAATTATTATATCTTATATTATTTTGTTACACTGAATATCTATTTAAGACTGAATACCTTTTAAATGAAGCTATTGTTGAATCTTTGAAATGATGCTTTGTTTAATATGAGAAAATCACTGTTACTTTTATTGTGATAAAAAAAATTTTGCTTAATTATATTCTATATGTGCAGTCGAAGAATCTAACATTTCAACTTCGGAACTATCGCCGTTCGAGTAATTAACTACTAATACATCTCGCGTTTGTTGCTCTGTCAGCTTACTGGCTTCCAGTGTACTGGCTTCCCCTTTGCCGGAATTCTCCCCCCAGCTCCCAGAGAATAGATTTACTCTTAATTTATCGATATTTTGATCGCTCGAGCTGCCCACGTTGCTAGGATTTTCCACAGACAGTCTAACTTCACTATCCTCAGGCAATCTGGTTTCATTCTCTACAGATTTATATTTCGGTATCTCCGTAGGTGCATCTAAAAAAATTACATAATTTTAAGTATAAATTTAGAAGGATAATGCATAAAAATTAAATCAATCATTGCAAACGGACAGTTTTTTTTCAGAAGCATTAATCAATTTTTCCTAATAATGTGTAACAATGTTACAATGAATTTGAAAATAAATTTATTTTGCAACTGACTGTTTTTTATATTATTTTATAATCCTTTTTTAACTTATTTGTAACATTGATTCAAATGTGTACGTACCAGGATATGGGGGTGCCTCATCAATCAGCTGTTGCATGACGTAACCCAACATAGTTGCGGTAAATGTATCGTCTCTTCTAAGACCGAGCGCTCTGTGAAAAGCATCCACTGCCTCTTGAATATTACCCATTAATGCATGAATAAATCCGATCGACGAATAAGTCGAGGGGTTTAGAGGATCTAAGACTAGCGCTTGTTGATGATATTCTAGTGCCTCGTCATATTTTTTCATTTTTCTACAAGTGTGGCCCAGATTATTCAATAGGGCTTCCCATTTACTAGGCAGAATCACATTCCTTAGGTCGCCTTGAATGCTTTTCATAGCTTCCTTAAATAATCGTTCTGCATTTTTGTAACTGTATTTAACAAGAATAATTTTTGTGAAAATTTATTGCTAAATTACATGAGCAAAGATTTGTAATCTTTGTTTTTTAAATATATGTAAATGTAGAAGAAAATTTAATACCAAGATAATACTTACTCTAAATTATAAAAGCATATAACACCCATTTCGTGTATCACAAATGGATCGTTTGGTGCTATTCCTTGAGCTTGTTGAAAGAACTTGTCAGCCAGCTTCAGATTATTCGTCAAACCGCATTCTAATCCGATATATAAAAGTGGAAGATGACAACCTTTCATTAATTGTGACGCTTTAAAATAAGCAGCCATAGCTTGATCATGTTCATTTTCAACTGCAAAGGAATGTCCGTATGCTAACCAAGCAGGACCAAACAATCTGTCCAAGACAGTAGCCTTTGCCAAGTATCTTCTTGCTTGGTCGCTTTTGCCTGCAGTACAGCAAATTAAATACTATTAAGTAATTTCAAACAATTTTTTTTTATTTGTAAGCCTATCACAAAAATCTTCATAATCTGTAAATTTAATATCTTTCTACTATTTCTATTACTAATCTTGTTTAAGAATTATTTACTAAATAGTAATCACTTACCTATGGTGTAGTAATAACATCCAACCGCAAACCATGCTAAGGCCATTTCCGGATATAAATCAACTAATCTATGCGCCAGATAAAACAGAGCTAAGGAAAAGTTCCACTGTTAACAAGTTCTAGCATCATTCATTTATTGCAACAAAATTGTAAACTTACCATTAGTTTTCTTAAGTTCAACTAAACAGGCAATGTGCACTGGAAGACAGGAATTGTGATATGGATCTTTTTTCAAGATTCTAAGGATTAAAAATATCACATTACATTTTGTTTTTTATGGAATGAAAATAATATTTTAATAGACATGTTACTTACTTCTCCGTAAGAGAAAAACATTGATGATAGTCACAATTGTAATATAATTTCTCAGCTTTCGCGACTTCCATGTCCAAATTATTTGCTAATCTATTAGTGAGACAAATGCCCATTACGTTACATTTACTTAATGACTGCTTTCTGTTCGGGTCTTGATATTTCTTTAGTTTGCTATCGTATAACAGTCGCAAGAGTTCTGCTTCGCCTTCTGTACATTGTTCAGCAAATGGTAAGGATTCTAATAGTTCCCGCTCTAAGTTAACACAAACATATACAAACATATACACAATTTATATAAGAAAATTTATATAAAAATTTATATAAAAAAATTATATCACATCTCACAAAATTAATATACCTTCAGAAGCCGAAAGCATCTGATTTTGTACCAAAGCTTCAAATGCTTCATATGAATAAACATCGCATTGTAAGGCTTGCTTATAACACTCTGTCGCAACCGCTCTATTATCCATAGCTTCATATACTCTTCCTTTCACATATAATATTGAACTCTGAACCTGTAAAAAGATTGTATATTTTCATGTTATCTTAAATTCTAATGTAATATAGCTGTATAGCTTAAAATGATATAATACAAATTAATATACATATATATCTATATATATATATATATATATATATACACATACACATGTATATAGATGTAAAAAAGTACTCATACATTTTTTGGAGCATCGTGGAAAATGTCCATGCGATCAGGAAAGGTAATACCTGCTTGCGTTATGTTTGTGCATATTTCAGATTCATTAATAACTTGAAGTGCATCGTTATATTCCTTTGCTTCTAGCAGACACCTCACGGTTAAGTAATGACACATTACATCACGCTGTATCAATAAATTATTACTTAATAAATTGTGTATAATAAAATACAATGATCAATGTATTATAAAACGAGATAGAGTGCAAATTGTATCCAGGTAAAATCAATGGTAAATTAAAATTACTTTCTGTAATCCATATCTTTTTATAAGATGCGCAGCACGATGATACTGTTTCATAAGGTACATACATTGTGCGAGAGTGCATATATCTTTTGGGTCCTCGTTACTCAGAGATACCACTTTGTCAGCCCAAAACAAGGCGGCACTATACAGGTGCTGGAAGTAAATACAAGTTTTTTTTAATAGCCACTATGATAGATAGGGCGATATTACTTTAACGATGCTCACCAAATCGATATACGATTTGACTAATTTTCTACAATTTTCCAGGTCAATAATCTCGTCCAACATGTTGTGCATACCGTTATTATCGGTATCGCAATGTGACATGTTTAACTTCAATTTACTTCAATTTTGTATGTAGATTAAAATAGGTTAGGATTAACCTTCGGAGCAACCTAAACGCGTAGGAATAACAAAGGACCACCCACACATCTCTCGCGCTAACAGCTTTTCGTAAAAAAAGAGGGCCGTGTTCCGATATACACTGCCACTATTGCCAGTATTAAAAATCTATAGTTATCGCTACGTGAACTGTAGTTTTTTTCAGCACTGACAGCATGGTGGATTTCTATGTTTCTTCCATTACAACTGGCAGTAGACTTTTCTCTGTGGCTGCGTAGTAACGTTTTGCGCTATTAGTAGGCACAGGCTGTGTTCCACTTAACGCTCGCAACGCTTGCGAGCATCGTTTGTTCTTGTTTAACATTTCATAAACAAGGGTGAAATGATTCCACGAGCTTTGTAAGCGTTAAGTGGAATGCGATACAGGGTATGGTCAACGCGATGTCATAAATATTTTAAAGCAATTTTTGATTGTAATTTTTCAATTTGTAAAATTCTTTTTTCTAATTGATCAACCAAATGCTTCAAAGCAATTTGTAGTGAGATTTTAACCGCAGTCATAGTCGAATATTCAATCTAAACGTTATAAAATAGAAAATGAAATTATGAAAGTTATGGGCCAGTTTCACCAACGCCAGTTACCTTCCGATTAACTTTGAGTATTGCCAACTGCTAAACTGAAAACTCTCTATCATCTCTAATCTAATTTTGAAAGTATGTTATTGTAAAAAAATAGTCAAATATATATATATATATTTGCATTTCAATATTTTATTTATTATCTCCAAACACAACACTTTTTCTTTACTATTACTAATAAGAATAAGTTAGATAGATTTTTAAATCTTGCTGTTGGTTATTTTGGCGATGAAGTTAATCGACGAACAAGCTTAACTGGCATTGATGAAACTGGCCCTATATTTCTAAAGTTATTAGATTCAGAAAATTGGATTTTAAAAATTACTAGGTTCTAAAATTAGGATATAAACTATTATATAAATATATATGATATTTGCGTGCACACCATGTTTGAAATTGTAAGTTTTGTTAAGTTTATTATATACCATATAATTGGTTTTTTTGTATTAGTTATTTCGCTTTAAAAAAAAAATATAGTGTTATTAAATAAAAAAAATAATACACATGATATACGAACCTGTGGAAAATATTAAATATTTACACTAATAATTCTTAATAATTGACATGATTTCAAAATACAATAAAACATCAGAATTTGTACCATTTATATTTGCAATATATTAAATAATTATTAGATACAATCATGTGTGCGAGATAGTAATTTAAAGTCATGTCGTTTCTATATACAATTTTTTTTCTTTCCCTCGCTGCTTTTACTTTCTCTATTTTCGTAATATTTTAACAATCTTTTTCTTCATCTCGTGAGAGTCTCAATTATTATGACACGTGTTGCATACATCAGATATACACATAAAACATTGGGTTCTCCTATTGCAGCTCCTTTCACTTTGCGTTTCGATTTTTTAATATCGCATTTAATTATAATATAAAAATGGGCATCTATCGCGTTAAATAATAATTAGACGATTATATCAACCTCTTTTATCAATACCTCGATATAGAGACGTGTAACATCGGTGATGAATCTTCAAGATTTACAAATAGCGAGTACGTTACAGGTGCAAATTACCAAAACGAATCGCAACATAGCAACAATGGTACAAGTTCGCAACTTAAAACGTGTTGAAGGAATGGAAATATATCGGAAGTTTGAGAGTTACAGTCCATTGTATAATTTGCATACATATCTTCTTTTTATTCTTCCCGTTTTGATAGACTTTTTTCACTTAGACTTTATCGCAATAATTAATTATTAAGTTACGTCTTTGTTCTCGTTTGAATTCTATTCGCATACATATTCAAAGGTGGACAATAAATCTCAAATGCCGGCAAAGAAAAAAATCGATTTAGCGAGAAGAGAAGAATCGCGAACATTTAATGAGGTATAATACTGTTGAGTCGATTACTACCTACCCTCAGTTCCAAAGCTTAACACATACGCACTCGAGTGCGTTCGCGTATTACAGTATAATTATTTTACTCCACGTTAATTAATCATTTCGTTCATAAGTCCGTTACGAGAAACTTTGACCCGTCCTGACAACATTCACTGACGGGCGGCTTGATCCGTCATTAAATATAACATATTATGATGCAAGGGAGGCACACGCAAAAATAGCTATAAAAATCGCACTGTACATTCACACTTGATCGAGACGATCGAACGCCAAATCAGATTTCCATTTCTCGCACTTCGTATAAAAGAAACCTTCCCAAAAAATAGATGAAAAAAAAAGAACGCTAAACGAATGCCATTGTTAAGGATGTTTGGTAGATATTTCAAAAAAAAATTATGAAAAAATACAGATTATTCTAAATCGTATTTAAAAGTAATCTAAGAAATTTTTTTAGTGACGGTTTACTACTATCCGGGTCATAAGTTATTTCAAAGAAGTAGAATTTTTTACATGTACTTTAACAGCAATGTATGGAAATGTATTATAAAATAAATCAGAAATCTCACAATTTTTTAATATAAGTACTTTATGTACTTAAGATTATTTATGTAAAGTTACATTGCGAATTACACGCAAAAATTAGTTGTCTAGTAAATAAAGAAAATATTTATTTGTTCTAAATCTTCGTAATTAATAAGTGAATCGCAATGAAACTTTGTATAAGTTATTTTAAATGTTTAAAGTACTTATACAAAAACATTTCGATTTTTGTTATTTTTTAAATTTTAATTTATAACAATAAAAATAATAACAAATAAAGTAAATAAATTACAAAAATGTGTTATTTAATAAAAACAGAATGTTATGAACACAACTTTATGTATACATATAGTTTGTTTAAAGTATAAATATTAATATAAAAACGTACTATATGTCCATCGAACATCCTTAAAAGTGGAGATTGAGAAATACATGATAATTATGTGCGTATATATACATCATATGGAGATTTAAATCAATCGATATAATAAATAATTAAGATAAATACAAAAAGGATAATGCTGATTATTAATAGATTACGTAAACGTAGTAACATAATAAACGATAATCAATATCGATAATATGCCCTTTGTAGGTAACCTAAGGGTAGAAGGAACTTATAAATATTACGTCCAAGTATTGTTAACTTATTTAAACGTGACTAAGCTTCCTCGCGGTACAGCAGCGCGTATGGATTTCGTATAAAATTCGAAGACGTCTTCAACAATTCTTTCGTTATCGTTCTGCCGAAATAAAATCTTACAACGCTCTGCGTGAAACTACAAAATCGCACAAGATGTTTGGAAATTCGTCTTACGAAAGGCTATAGCCGGAAGACCTCACGGAAAACTAAGCAATGCGAACACTCACGATCGGTCTCCCACAAACATTTTTCGTTACAACAAATTTTTCCGAATATCTTGTACGTAAAAATAGAAAAATCCCAATCAAGGGATTCTGCATCCTACACATGTTCGTCGCTCTGATCAATTTACGTCACTATATATATCTTGTCCTAACTCAATAATAAATTATTACAAATCAGTTAGTAAATACATATACGTATATATACACGGAGCGGACTGGCCGTACCGTGATTATGCCGCGAAAAATTTAGCTCAGCGTGATTAGAAATAGAAATTAGCATAGTTGGCAATGGCAGTACTTGGAAGAATAGAGATACAAATTTTCGTAGACTTCTACCGACTATCACAATGCTTTACAATACTAATATCATAATAGCCCACGATAAAGTTCGTAATTCATCAAACATCGAGCGATCAGTGCAAGAAGACTTTTGTCGCATATACCGCAGTTTCCTTGCAGAGGTCTTGTACACATTCAACGGATAAATGATTCGAGTACTTATTGGATACGATTAACACAGATCGGACACAACGTTTTTAACATATATCCAAGGTTACACGTACATACTTCATGTTTATAATAATCATAATAATCGAAAATCAAAAGATTTTGAAAATGACATTTCAACTTTCCATGTACTTCACTTCTTAATCATATTACCAAGGCATCTCACAGAACCAAAGATATGCAATACCTTGGAAATATGAGATGTATCTGAAGAATAATTATTTCACAGAGTTACATACAAAATCAATTTGTATTTAAATCGCGTATCATGTACGCGATTTAAATACCCTAGAATGTATTTAATAAGTTTAAGTTTTTTTTTTTCGTATTCCGTCTCTGTGTACTTTTTAAAATTATTATTACATTATAGTATCTCCGTTGAAGGTAAAATTTACATAGTCATTGTATTAAGACTTTTTTTATGTATATCTAGATTTTAAAATATCTTCAAACGTTTGATGCTTGCAAGTATATACGATTTTCAATCGTTACGATTTTCATAATGAAGCGTATATGTATATTTATGTATAATTATACATACACATATGTGTTTATAGACAGATATGTATATGCATACATATATCATAGTATCAGATGAACTCGAAGTTTTTACTCGACTAAAGTAAAGGCTTAATTTAATTTTTAACGCCTTTTACACTCGTTAGGCTTCGTCATTTTTAGTCGCGTCGGAAATTATTTAATCTACAATATGATCCCTGATTATTAATCCCTGTAAAACGGAATTTTCCCCGCGCGATTGTATATATAACCAAATTTTACGTACATTAAAAAATTTCGGTTTTCTAAATTTGTGCAGCAGATAATCTTTGGTTACCCAAAAACATCTATCTCAATATGTAGATTACTTTCTAGAATAAACTACATTTTCATAAGGCAGAAGCCGTTTTATCATATATTATATGATACTTCTAATTTCAAATCTTAATTAATTGTGGCTATATCATGACCACTGTTAAACCACATTCGTATTAATTTGTGAACTTTATATAATGTATATAATCACATTTATATTTTTCACATATTTTAAAAGTTTTATATATATATATATATGTATATATAT